ATAATGATGATGATGATTTTATTTAAGAGGTATAAGACGCATTAACTTACAAGAGTTATCTAACATACCACCCTCAAGCAATTGTTCTATAATTTTTCCTATAGACCCCTCGCAGCACTTTGGAATACAGCTCAATCTGGGGGACAAAATAATAGGTTCCAATTCTCAGGAGATTGGAATTCTTTTGTTTTGTTCCTCAGATTGAACTGCTTTGACGTCACATACAAGGGGTATATATCATGTTGACGAAGGTACATTTTTTGTAACGAGCAAGTTTTTGCTCATCAATGTCTTGTGCAATAAATAAAGTTATTCTTAACCTTACACAATGTTAAGGTGGAGTGGTTGGCATAACACTTGCCAACACCTTACAGCGTCGTGCAGGTTGATCACAATTAGTGCCCACAGACAATATATGACCACATAGCATCCCTTTACGTGTTTACTGACCTTCAGGAATATAGCCAAAGGTTTTGTTTGTCTCAATCCTACAAATTGAGTTTCTGGCCATTAACAGCCTGGAACTGGGGACTGAAAAAGTATAGCTACCAAAATTCACAATACAGTCATTTTCCTTTACTGGATAAAATTATAATACAATTCATWTAATAATTGATTATATTATTTAACATCTAGTCTTAAAACACTCAGCTTGATTAGAAAAAAATGCTTAGTACAAGTAAAGTTTATTGAAACATTTTGTTATTTAACACTTTTATTCAGCATTAAATACTCGTACACCGAATAACAACTCCATTTTCAACCACGAGGAGTAAAACATGAACTCGAGGCTCCCAAAACCAAAACGAGGCTAATTTACATAAACAATGTCAATTTCAACAAAGTTATGGTAAGCAGATGGCAAAGGCCTTTTCTGAGTTCGATAAACAGGGTGCATTGTGGTCTAGCTTGGGTACAAACAACACCATGATGGRCAAAAGATACTTGTACTCAAGTTTAACCACAGTGCCCCTTGTTTGTTATCTCAGAAAAGGTCTTTGATGATACTGCAAGTCAGCCCAGGTAAAAATGAATCAATCTAATTGGTTCCCTGATTGGCAGCCTTCAATGCCATATGCTACCTATTTTACACTAATATTATATAAAAACTGCTCTAGAATGAAGGAACTTAAACRTTAAGGTTATAATTTAAACTAACATAAATACAAATCCTTCTTCCTCGAATATCTAAACTTTAGCATTTTAGATATATCTATAAATATAATATCTTCCTTTAAAAACTAAAAATTCAAGACCTATTTTAAAAATCCACCACAACAAACACTTGACAGGAGTGAGAAGCAGTAGTAAAACCTTCAAATTCTTCATCAACTGGAGAAAGACTTCGTGATGGACTGCTGGTGAGTGAACCAGTGTTCCACTTACAGGTCATGAACTGTCCAACCTGATCAACGATGAAAAATATAAATAAATTGGAAGTTAGAGCAGTACATTACGTTTCGTCAAGCTAATTTTTTCCAAGAAAAATTAGTCTCCTATGCATCCGCTATTAGTTTCATCATGCAATGCTTACTCCCCTTAGGGGAGTGAGCGTGGCGTGACGACACTATCTAATAGCAGCTGCGTAGGAGACTAAAGAAAAATTGGAGTTGTTTTGTGGTCACTCAAGCCTATTTGGTAAATTTATATTAATTCAGACCTGAAAAAATATATTGGCTATCGTTTATCATTTCATAGATATTCCATCCATTTCAAAGTCAATTGATCTCAATTAATATTAATTGACAGTCTGACCACAGATAAATAAGAGCTTTAATTGTTCATGTTTTATTGCTGTGTTAATTACTCTACCTCATGTAGTCCCTCTTGCATGGCTAGAAACTCTACATTTACTGAAAGACAAGATCCTGGTGGACAGCACCTGAACAACACAACAAAATTGCCTATAAATAAAAATCTTAAAATATCTGTTTGATTAGTAAAGTCTTAGCTGTATCATTAAACTAAAGCTTAGTATGTCTTGTTAAGACATTGTGATTATATTTTGAGGTGATGATATGTGGTTAAACTATTATTACTATTACTGCTTATATAGGCCTGGCTTTAGTCCCAACTGATCCCCTCTTACTACCTCAGCACAAAGGCAATGAATGATGCATCTAGTAGCATGACTATCTGTTAGCAATGGATTTATTTTACCAACCCTATTCTGACATTTGGCTGTAGACAGACTAGAGACTCTGCTTCTAAGTTGTGCATTCCAGGCATCATATCATTGTATTGTGGTTGCCATCTTAAACAAACATTGCACTCCTCATCTTCAGTGTTTGTTACTGTATATTTCACTTGGAATCTGAAGTTTTGGAACAAGAAAGTTATAAGATAAAAATAACTCATAACTTGAGAGATGTTTTGTCAACTCCTGTCAAGATGTTCTCAATAGACCCTTTTCAAGTTCCAAATTACCACTGTGTTTCTTGATTACAGACTCATTTACTCAGGCTTAGCCTTGAATCAGTGTCTAAATATTCACAAATACAAATGGTAAAGCAAAAGAATGCACAACTTCAAAAATATGAACACTTTGAAACTTGACGGACCTTGACTGGAACATGTGAATATTCTTCACAAAATCAAGGCTAAGCCTGAGTAAATGAGTCTGTAATCAAGAAACACAGTGGTAATTTGGAACTCAAAAAGGGTCTAGATAGCATGGTGCGAGGAATAGTATCACAATGAAGCAAGTCTTGGTGAATGTCAATCAAAGTGTTTCCATGACATTTTAAACTCATGTGATCGCCACCTTGGAAACTTTGTGAAGCTCTATGGAACTTTGAAAGCTGACTCATGATCGTACCTTTTCCCTTTTTGAACAATTGATTTACAAGTTGCCCTGACACTCACAGAAGGTCTACTGATGTTAAATAATGGTAAACTGCAAAACAAAAAAAGGCAACTGTAGGCAGACATAATAAGTTATTTGAAAAAGGACAATTACTGAAAAGATACATTGATGTACTATCTTTATACCTATAAATTGTTTTTATTTTTTGTTCCCTTAATCTTAAAGTCTCTACACTCCATGACACGGCTGACATCAAAGAAATTTCAAAACACTAGGAGAAA